ACAGAATGCCTTTTGCTCTGGAAAATGTCTTTTACTCAAGGTTGAACATACACTGCTCCTCCTAGCATTAAGATTCCATGATTCTCTCTATATTCCATTGGCTTAGCTAATCCTGTTTTCACCAAAGGTCCAGCTATCATTTGTTGGCACCTGGCTTTTCCCATAAATAGAAGTATATCCTCTTCCAAGTTCTTTAATAGATACCTCTTCAAAGCTAAACATTTGAAAAGAAATACACTGACCCCCAAACGCTAACGGATTTTATGGGTCAGTCTTTTGAAGCTAAATGTATCTTACAAGAACTCTGCAGTGACTTCAGAATTGGAATCCAACCTTCCAACTCTTCCCACAGATGTTTGATCATATGTGATACTTTCATCTCCCTTCTTTAAACCTTTTACTATGGAAATTATCAAACATATAAAAAAATAGAGAGACTAGGCCCCAGCAACCAACTTCAACAAGTATCAACATTCTGCCATTTATTTTTCCATCTATCCCTCTCCTGACTTTGTATTTACTGTTTGTTGCAGTATTTGATAGCAGACTTCACACATCAAATGATTTCACCCACGAATGCTTGTTTCTGTTAGATGAGGCCCTTTTCCTTTGAACAAAACCATGACACTATTATCATATCCAACAAAACAATTCTTAATATTATCTAATACCCAGTCCAAACTCAATTTTCCCTGTCTCAGTTATGTATTTTTATAGTTGGTTTGTTCAACTAAAGATCCAAATATGACCATATATTGTATTTTGTTGATAGGTCTCTTAGGTGTCTCCTTATATTTGCAATAGGCTCCCCTCATTTTTTATTCACCCATCACTGACACACCATTTAAATTCTAATTGGCCAAGCAAACCTTACCAACAATAACACCTCTTCAGCCTCCATATGCTATAAGCAAAACCAGACATTCATAGGCTTGTAGATGCTTAGGCACAGACATACAGCTCCACCTTCCACGTGCAATTCAACATGAAAACCAATACACCAGGCCATCCCACATACTTTCTGCCTTCAAGAGAAGAAATTTAGATTGCTTCAGCAAGCCAATTCTCTGAAATCAAATCTCTTCTGTGCTCAATGGCCTGAAGACTCTGAATGATTTAAAAAACAAGACATCCATTCATTATGGCTCCCTTCTGAAATTAGCCAAACATAATAAAGAATCACAAAGTAAATCAGACAAAAGCCTCGTAATTCATTATCGTTAACATTAACAACATTAACTGAGCACCTAGATCACCCAAGACATCGGATTATAGAAAGGATGACCTGTGTCCCTACCCCAAGGGACCTACAGTCTAAACAGAGAGGCGTCGCATCATTTAGACACAAATGCCCAAGGAGGACCACAGTCACAGTACCACCCAAACTGACATCCATTTCCTATCCCCTAGGTTAAGAATATTTATGAGGTTGATCCATGCAGTGGAATAAAAAGAAAAGAGCAGAAGGAACTGCATTTGACTGAATTCCACCACTGATGAGCTGTGCCACAATGGATAAGTTACTCAACCTGATCCTCAGTTTTCTCATCTGTAAGAGGAATAATCCCACCTACCTCACAGAGTAGCAGCTGGTAACACTGAATCATAAGCTCTTACGTAAAAATCCAGCAAAGATGATGATGATGATAAAAATCACTGAATACAAAGCATTAGACTAGAATGTTTTCTGTCTATCCATCTAACCCTCACACCAGTCCTATGAGACAGCTCCCATTCTCATGCCATTTTCCAAAGAACTGAACAGAATGGGTGAGTGTTTCACCCAACGTAACACGGCTACAGGTGTCAGAGCGCCAGGAGGTAGAGGATAAAACTGCAGGGTTCTTTCTGCCAATAATGGTATGATAATACCTCCCAATACTACCATGGGGAGGTGTAGGGGTAGAAGCAGGGCGGCACGAATGAGCGTGCCCTCGCGTACAGATCAATTATGTTATAAACTCCCAAGGTACAGCATTCCACAGCTCCTACCCTTGCCCAAACAGGAAGCCCCCAGGAGGCTCCTAGAGTTGTCCTACCCAAGGTGTGATTATGTTCAGAGACGTAACGGTGGTTTCCTTCCTTATTGGGGCAAGTCTTCAGCTGTCTGCTAAAGAGTTATTAAGCCTTTTTAATCACAAGTCTCAAACACTAACATTTGTTCAAAGATTTGTCCAAAGATCATAATTTTTTCCTATATAATCCCTTACTTCCTTTTTTGTACATACATAGGCAAAAAAGGACTGAAGGCAGGCAGTCATCAGAAAAGAGGTGCAACTACCCTGTGGCCACTATACTGTAAGAAGGCTTACCTAGCCTAGGTTCAAGTGGAAAGGGCACCTGACGGAGAACTGAGGTCCTGGCCAATAGTCCTGGCAGATCTCCTAGCCAACAGCCAGGACCTATGCCACCCACGTAAGTGACATCATTCGGACTTCCTCAGATGAAACCACATTAAGCAGAATCACCACCCAGTCTACCCACAGATTTGTGGGAAATCGAATGCTGTTGGTTTAAGCCATTGAGTTTTGGGGTGGTTAGATAACTGAAACAGCTAGAAAATAGCTTTCCAGTCAGACCAAATACCAAATCTATGAATGAGAAGCACCACATGGCAGCTAAACATTGTTTATCAATGGAAATGATACAACTCCTTCAATCTGAGCATGCCTACCAGTTGAAACATGCAGCTCGGTAAACCTGGATCTATACTGTACCGGGCTCAACAGTGTTAAATAACCACTAATAATGACCACATTAATCACAGTAACAGCAGCCAATATTTACCAAGTATTTATTACATAGTAGGCATTGTGCTAAATCCTTTAATCATTTAATTCCTTACAAAAGCCTTTTGAGGTGGGCTGCTATAATGCCCATTTTACTGATGAGGTCGCTGAGGCATAGAGTGGTACATTGACTTGCCTAGGATCACACTGCTAGTAAACAGTGATACGGGATTTCACTCTTGGCCATTGGATTCCACAGACACCGAGCTCTTAACCGTCAGCTTTTGACCTTTCAAAAGTGTGATGCCACTTTAACAAAACCGCCCCTTGTTTTGTTTTGTTTTTTTGGGACGGAGTCTTGCTCTGTTGCCCAGGCTGGAGTGCAGTGGCGCTCACTGCAACCTCTGCTTCCCAGGTTCAAGCGATTATCCTGCCTCAGTCTCCCAAGCAGCTGGAATTAGAGACGTGTGCCACCATGCCCGGCTAATTTTTGTATTGTTAGTAGAGACAGGGTTTTATCATGTTGACCAGGCTGGTCTCAAACTCCTGACCTTAAGTGATCTGCCCGTCTCTGCCTCCCAAAGTGCTGGCATTACAGGCCTGAGCCACTGCACCCAGCCGAGACTGCGCCCTCTGAGTTAATGTGTGTCAAGAGTTCAACACTGGGCCGGGCGCGGTGGCTCACGTCTGTAACCCCAGCACTTTGGGAGGCCGAGGTGGGCAGATCACGAGGTCAGGAGATCGAGATCATTCTGGCTAACATGGTGAAACCCCGTCTCTACTAAAAATACAAAATATTAGCCAGGCATGGTGGCGGGCGCCTGTAGTCCCAGCTACTTGGGAGGCTGAGGCAGAAGAATGGCGTTAACCCAGGAGGTGGAGCTTGCAGTGAGCCGAGATCCTGCCACTGTGCTCCAGCCTGGGCTACAGAGCAAGACTACGCCTCAAAACAAAAGAAAGAGTTTAACGCTGTCTGGTCCATGGTAAGTTTTCAGTACATACCAACTTTTACTATTAGGAAACCTACAGGTACGGAAGGAAAGATGAGAGGAAGTACTGTATATGACTGGCGTACAGTACACCCCCAATTAATGTTAGTTATTTGGATGATTTATATAGGGCTTCTTCACCAGCAGCACTCGGGTGCTTGTTATCTTTCTGTTTCCCACATTCTGTGAGCTCCCTGCGTGTAGAGCTGTTTCCAACACATCCTTGCAGGTCCGGAGCCCAGAGCAAGTAGCTGCTCAATAAATGTTTCTTGACGGGAGAGGAAATGCTTCCTTCCTTCACCACAAATGCGAACTTGGATTTCCAAGATGACACCTCCCCCAGCTACCAGCCCTTAACATGATTTCAAAGAAGAGGGCAAGAAGGGACAAGGGACCCACCCAAGAAATGCGGGGGCCAATGGACTCCATGGGATAAGAGATGGAGCTGGGCTTGTGGCCAGGACACTTGAGAAGTCCGTGAATTCCGTAGCTGGCCACACCAAGAGCGGGACCTCCCCAACCCCCCAGCACTCCTAAAAGTCCCTAGGAAAAGGGCGAGGCCCTGAGAGGGAAGTCACCCAACTCCCAGGTGGCGGGCCCCCCCGCCCTGAGTCGACTAGGACTTGGAACTACCCCCTCCGCCCATCCCGGGGCAGCTGCAGGCGTAGGAAGAAAAGAAGTGACAGGAAGTCAAAAGTTTCCCCAACAACAAAAATCCTTCCCTCGAGGGAAGGGCTCCCACCCTCAGCCCGCCCCGCCCAGTGGGGAGGGACCGCCCCCAGTGGATCTAGGCAGTTGGGGGTCCCGCTGTTCTGGTCCTGACGAGGAGGGCCTGGCTTGAGAGTTCCCTGCCCCGCGCTTCGTGCACCCTGAATTCTTTGAGAGCGTCCCAGGGAGGGATAGGGGTGCCCCAACTCTTACTTACAGTCGTCTAAGTCATCCTGCAAGTCCACAAAGTACAGGGGGATCTCTGAAAACCAAGAAACACACAAGGAGTTACCAGGGGGCTGCGGCGAGAGAGGACGGGGTCGGGCAGGGGCCCCTCGGCCTCGCGGGGTGGTCACGGGGCGAGAGGGAGGGAAGCACCCCCGGCGTCCCCCGAACCCAACCCCACTCACCCGCCATCTTGGGATGGGCCTGGAGGCGGGACGGACAGGGGTGGGGGAGCCTGTAGACAGGGGCGGGGCCGTAGGTTTCAGGCCCCGCCCCCGGCCCGCGCCGGCCGGTCGGCCCCGCCCTCTCAGTGAAGGTGGCTGCCGAGGTGGGCGGGGAGGTCAGGTGACCCGGCCGGCGTCCCAAGATGGCGGCGGCGGCGGCGCCCGGAAGGCCGCGGCGGCGTCCAGGCTGCTAAGGCGGGCCCCACGCGGCTGGCAGCGGACAGGCAGAACCTAGGGCCAGAGGACGGGCGGCAGCCGCCTCTGCGCGGACCGGGGCTGGGCTGTCTGGCGGCAGCGGCGCCAGGGGATGCTCCTGCTGGGCCCGGCCTCTCCTTTCTCAACTTAGGGCGGCGGCGGGCCCGCGCCCGTGGCTCCCGGGCCATGGCGCTGAGGGAGCTCAAAGTGTGTCTGCTCGGGGTGAGTGGCGGTGGGTCTGGCCGGGAGGGCCACGGGAGGCTGGGCTGGCGGGGACCCCGGATCCCCCATGTCCCCTCATTCTTTCCCCCATCCCCCGTCCAAGACGCTGTCTCCAGCCCCGTGGACCCTCCCTCCAGGTCAGGAGCTGTCCCGCCCACCTCTTGCACCCTCCAGAAGGTCCTGGAGGCCGGAGGGACCCTTCCCCTTCCCCTTCCCCTCCCTGGAGCCCGTGGACTCTTCCCGCCCCTTAAAGAGCAAACAGCCCCGCCTTGCCTCTCCATTGCATCTGGGTTAGGAGAGGCTTTTAAATAGTTTTCTCCCAACTTACCAAGGTATTAGTTGGGAGGGAGTTGGCCGAGTCTTCTCAAGCAAAACCCATAACAGGTCTTTAGGTTTTACAAGCAGCATTAGCCTACTTTGTCTCTTGAGGGTGTTTTTGAACTTGTGGGATACCCCTGCCACTTCTCCAAAGAGTTACTTTGCCAAGTAACTCTTCCCGTGGAGAAAGGGGGTGTTCAAATCAGGAGCCCCAAAGACTAGTTTGAAGCTTCAGCTTCCTGTCTTGTCAGGAAGGACAAGGTTGGCCATTTCAAAGCCTTCTTTCTGAAATTGATGCTGTCATTCCAGTTTCTGCCTTAAAAGATAGACAGGAACTCCATTAACTAATCTTTATTCCCCCAAAATAGGGTGGGGCTAGGATTCTTCAGGGATTACTCAGAGGTAACCCAGGAGTTCAAAGTTTACTAACATATGTTAGAAAGCAAGTGGACTTGTTACTTTTTACACGAAGCAGAAACTTTGGGTCTTTCAAAAGGTCCTAATCTGTCTTAAAAACTGCAAAAACCTCACTCTTTTAGCACATTTGGAATTTCCTAATTACTCCACTGAATTTTTATGACAATCGCTTTTGTGTTCCTCAGTTTATAAAATTTACACATCTAGGGTGATTTTTCTAAAATCCTGAACTTACGCCACAAAGTAGTTTTTGGTGTCTGCCAAAAGGTAAACTTTTCTCAGTCACATGTCTCATTCTCTTTCAGGATACAGGTGTAGGTAAATCGAGTATTGTGTGGCGGTTTGTGGAAGACAGTTTTGATCCAAACATCAACCCAACAATAGGGTAAGAGATTTTTATTTGATACACATCTAAAGGTGCATTGAAAATCCTTCCAAATACGTAGTGTGTTACAGGTGTAGGCCCTGCACTTTATATTCATTGAATTCTGAGTCGCTGGTTCACATCATCTCTGGAAGACTTGAAGGAGTACAGTGAGGATCTGTGTATTTTAGGAAAATTATCTTCAGACTTGTTGGGAGTGAAAACTTAAAAATGCAAATATGAATTGGAGTTCTGCTAATTATTAGAATAGACACAGAAACTTCAATCTATAAATATCAACAACAATTACACCTTGAAATAAGGCAGATGAAAATAGATCGTGGTGCTATTCTTTCAGGGATATCAAGTAAAACACATTTAGATGCTTTTTGTCCTTCCTGAAAGTAGTAGGCTGAGATCTGAACGCTTACACATGCCTGTACTGGTAGTAATAAGAAATTAATAAATTCGTATTGAAATGGAAGGTTTTTTCAGTTCTCTGGTTCTAGGGACAAGTAAAGGTGATTGTTCATATGTTTTTGACTCTATAAGAAAACTTTTCATTTTGCAATACTAATCCTTTGACTACATAAGAAGTTGTGTTTTATAGGCTTTAATACTATGTTAGCTTTATAAAACTAAATAGGTGCTATGCTGTAGTTTTATCATCAAACCCTCAAATGCCTTCCAGCATTTAAAGAAAAAATCAATGTTATCCATCGCTAGGATAATATTGGCCTTTGTGCTCTATGCAGATCATTCTTTGACTAATAGAGATATATTTTACAGCCCAGGAGAGAAACTGCCATAAGATTGTACCCTGAGAAATTATGAGCTCCTGTTATCAGAGGTTATTTATTATTTATTTATTTATTTATTATTTATTTATTTATTTTTTGAGACAGAGTTTCACTCTTTTTGCCCAGGCTGCGGTGCAGTGGCGCAATCTCGGCTCACTGCAACCTCCGCCTCCCGGGTTCAAGCAATTCTCCTGCCTCAGCCTGAGTAGCTGGAATTATGGGTGTCCACCACTGTGCCCAGCTAATTTTGTATTTCTAGTAGAGACAAGGTCTCACCATGTTGGCCATGCTGGTCTCAAACTCCTGACCTCAGGTGATCCGCCAACCTCAACCTCCCAAAGTTCTGGGGTTACAGGCATGAGCTGCCACGCCTGGCCTATGTGTTCAATATTTTTTTATCTACTTTTTTTTTTTCACCCAGGCTGGAGTGCAGTGGCACAGTCATGGCTCATGGCAGCCTCAACCTCCTGGGCTCAAGCCATCCTCCAACCTCAGGTAGCTGAGATCACAGATGCACACTACCACACCTGGCTAATTTTTTGTACTTTTAGTAGAAAAGGAGTTGCACCATGTTACCCAGGCTGGTCTTGAACTCCTGGGCTCAAGTGATCCACCAACCTCAGTCTCCCAAAGTGCTGGAATTACAAGTATGAGCCACTGCACCCAGCCTATCTGCTTTTTTTTTTTTTTTTTTTTTTTTGAGACGGAGTCACCCAGGCTGGAGTGCAGTGGCGGATCTTGGCTCACTGCAAGCTCCGCCTCCCAGGTTCACGCCATTGTCCTGCCTCAGCCTCCCAAGTAACGGGGACTACAGGCGCCCGCCACTACGCCCAGCTAATTTTTTTGTATTTTTAGTAGAGACAGGGTTTCATGTGTTAGCCGGGATGGTCTTGATCTCCTGACCTCGTGATCCGCCCGCTTCTGCCTCCCAAAGTGCTGGTGTTACTGGCGTGAGCCACCGCGCCCTGCTACCTCTCTGCTTTTTTAAACCCTGTGGGGTTTACACATTTGAAGGCATGGGAATGAAATTCACCAATAAGTTTCTGCAATTAAAATGCTTTTCCATATCCTTTAAGAAAGAGCTGGGTATGACACATGTAAAACGTGACCCCATCCATCTCAGGGCTTTCCTGTCCCTACCTGCATGGGAGAGTGAAGTGTTGCGAAGTGACAGCAAGTACTGCGGGTGATTCAGCGAGTGACACACTTCACACTGAGTCAGAGCTGAAAACTCAAAACCCACAAGACACCCAGACACCACCTTGGCTAGAAGTGCTCTCTCAAATAAGAAGAGAGAAAAGTGAAGGGTGTAGCTTCATGCCTCTTGGTGAGGCCTGTGGCCCCTTCCTAAGTGTCCACTGTTCCCTTGTTTTGCCAGTGGCTCCCAATCTGCCAGATGCCTGTGGCTGCTGAGCTGCCTCTAGTCCACTCTCCACACCAGGAGATTTGGCTCACATTTTTACAGGGAAAGCAACATGCAAGGCTTTCTCCTCATTTTCTTTTTTCTGCCTTTCTTTATTTCTTTTTTCTCAGCTTTAGAAGGTGGCTTCCTCCTTTGTGACCAACCCCAAACATACCCCTGAGCTCTGGATCCCCACCTCTTCATAAGTTACCCTGTTTCTTCCTCAGCCCTATCATCTTGTCATAGCCTGCACACAGGTTCCGAGTCCACCCCACTCCACCACAAGAGCACCCCTCAGACGGTGGAACTCCCGAAAGAAGTTACCACTTCCTCAGCTGCTGCTCACTCCTCAGCCCTCCATAATCTCAGCGCCACCCACCATGCCACTAAAACCGTCTTCCCCTGGTACCAGTTTCCATCTAATAGCCAAAGTCAAATGGCCTTTTCTTGGTAGTTTTCTTTATTCATAGAGTGCCTGCTGTATGCCAGGTGCTAGACTGGGTGCTGGTGCCTAGACCTGGGGTGGGCAAACTGGGGTCTTTTCGCCCGCCTCCTGTTTTTGTAAATAGTTACTGAAACAGTCACACCCAATTATTTAATTATTGTCTTGCTGCTTTTGGGCTACAATGACCAACTTGATTAATTGCAACTAAGACTTGATGGCAAACCCAAAAATATTTGCTGTCTGGTACTTTTCAGAGCAAGTTTGCTGACCCCTGATTTAGACAAAATGGACTTCTGTCCTCGAAGACCTTACCTACAAGGAGGAGCTACATTATGACTAGTGTACAGGAAATGATTTATTCTTTTTCTTTTTTTTCTTTGAGACTGAGTCTCTCTCTATCGCCCAGGCTAGATTGTAGTGACACGATCTCGGCTCACTGCAACCTCTGCCTCCCATGTTCAAGCAATTCTCCTGCCTCAGCCTCCCATGTAGTTGGGATTATAGGTGCGCATTTGGGAATCCGCCCGCCACAATGCCGAGCTAATTTTTGTATTTTTAGTAGAGACAGGGTTTTGCCATGTTGACCAGACTGGTCTCAAACACCTGACCTCAGGTAATCTGCCTGCCTTAGCCTCCCAAAATGCTGGGATTACAGGTGTGAGCCACTGCGCCCGGCCAGAAATGATTTATTCAGCCTTTTTCTGTGTTACAAAGGAGAAACGTGCAGTACTATGAAAATGTGATGGGGACCTGACCTGGGCCTGTGGGGATAACTGTTTCCTACAGTGATGAGTGGAGGTGTGAAGCACCTAGCAGCACTGGCATTTAAATACTGAAAGATGAATGGATTAGACTTTCAATTCTAAGTTTAAGAATAAAAGTTGGCTGGGTGCAGTGGCTCACACCTGTAATCCCAGCACTTTGGGAGGCCAAGACAGGTGGATCACATGAGGTCAGGAGGTCAGGAGTTCGAGACCAGCCTGGCCAACATAGTGAAACCCCGTCTCTGCTGAAAATGCAAAAATTAGCCAGACGTGATGGTGCATGCCTGTGATCCCAGCTACTTGGGAGGCTGAGACAGGAGAATTACTTGAACCCAGGAGACGGAGTTTGCAGTGAGCCAAGATCGCGCCACTGCACTCCAGCCTGGGTGACAGAGCAAGACTCCATCTCAAAAAAAAAAAAAAAAAAAAAAAAGAAAAGGGAAAAAAAAGTTTTTGAAGAGTGGAAGTGAACTAGGTGGTGGTGGTGAGGGATGGTGGGTAGAAAAGAGCTGGAATGGGCATGAGGAACAGCAGGGACTGTGAGGCAGGAGGGCAAGGGAGGTTGGAAGAGGGGTCAAGAGGCTGGGGTGGCTGGAGGACCCACAGCAAGAACCAGGAGAGACAGCAGGGAGGTTGGTGAGCCAGCAGGGACCAGTCCACAGGGCCCTGGAGACCAGGGGAGGAGCCGACATCACTTACTGCAGGACACATCCCCACTTCTCAGATTGAAGTTCCTCTGTCTTTTCTAGTTCCCTTCCTGCTTCGTAATCGTGCTTCCTCACTGCAGTCTCCTGGTCTCTCGTACTGATTTGATAAATGCTGGTCTTCCCCAAGCTGTGTCCTGACTTCCCATGTTTCTCACCTCCCTCCATCACCTCACCTTCACCTGTGTCATGTGACCTCCAACCCATGCCTCCAACTCATGATTTGGACCTAGTTTCCTACAGAACTCGGTCTTTGTTCCTCCTTCAGTCCTGCATACCTCACGTGGTATCTGTGTTCTTCCCTAAGAGCTCACCTGTGTCGTATCATGTAGGAGAGCATGGGCCTTGAAGAACCATGCTCCCTAGACTTAGGGCCTTGACTGTGTGCTAGCAGGGAGAATATCCGCACAAGTGACAGAGCCACTCTTTCGGAGGTAGGGGGGTCATAGTCCTGCCTACCTTATGGGGGTTTTAGGAGAATTCCGTGACTCCATACACGGAGTGGGCTTAGGAAGTGTGCAGTAAATGGTGGTGGTGTGTAGGGGTACTGTCAACATATCTCTCTTCACCCCACCCCCAGCCCAATCCCCAAACCCCATTTGTATCCGTTTAAGAAAGGGCCCTCTGGGACCCCCTCCTGAAGGAGAGCTTGGGCCCTCCTTCCCATCCTCACATCTAAGCCCTCATCCTATCTTGCCAGGGCTATTCAGCTGATTTCAGAACCAGTTGCTCTGTGGCCTAGCTCTGCCACTTGGAGTCAGTTCTCCTCATTGTTGCTGTGTGAGCTTCATTGAAGACAAGGTTGATCCCCTCAGTCAAAACCATGGCAGAGGAACCCTTTCCTAGCCTGGGCCGAGCCTCATCTCTCCTGTGCTTTGTCCATGTTTTTGTTGCTCACTTCCTCCC